ATGCATTGTAAGTCTAAGAACTTAAAATTTAAAATTTATATTTGGAGATCCAACCAATGAGACTATATTTGGTGATGTCTTCACAACTTTGTCCTGTGTGTGTGCGTGTGTTCAGGGGTAAAAATCACATAGACTGTGTTTTCACTCCTCTTCCTCTCATTTCCTCCTCTTCCTGCCCCCCCCCCCAAATAAATACACAGGACAGAGGTCCTGAGGTGTCACATTTGAGGATAGGGACAATGAAGCCACCTGCTTTGAATGCTAACTTGGTCTTGATACTTGGGAAGATTGCTTAATTGGCTGTGCCTCAGTTTCCCAATCTGTAAAAGGGGAATGATGACCATCCCTACTTTCCGAGATTACAGTGAGACTGTAGGAGTTCTTCTAAGTGAAGTACTTGAAGTGCCTAGCACATCATAAGCTCTTTATCACTGTTGGCAATGCCATGAGACAGGTATATCACATTTGTCCTGGAGTTTCTTCTTTGGAAAAGGAATTTTAGAATACTGCATTCTGAAAATTTACTTTGTCTATATTTTTCCAGTTTAAAAAAAAACCTAGTTACACTCTTCCATGGAAAGGATCAGCTATGATTAGAGAAAACATCTGAGACAGCCTCCCTGAGGCTGATAGAGAGAGCAGAAAGGTGTTCTGGTCTGCTGGTTACCCAATGAACACCTGGACGTTCTGAGGAGGCTGAGACTGTGCAGCATGCCTCACCTGGGTTATTCTGGTTAAGGCTATTGAGAATCTTATGAGTTTGCTCTTGCACCCATTTTATGGAAGTGGGAATGAGTTTGGAGAGGTTATATAATTTAGTATAGGTAGGAAGTGGCCACACCTAGTCTGTGGGATTCCTAAGTGTACCTGCTGATGTGCTGTGGAATGCCTAGGCTCCATGTGGCTGGCGGTCACAGTGCAATGGAAGAAGATAGTAAGTCTGGGAATGTCTTACCTTTTAAAGGTACTTTTAGGGTTGTGAAGTATATGCTTATAAGTATGCTAAAAGCAAGGAACCAAATTCATGATTTTCTGTTTGTTCATTTCCTGTGCTTTGATGGAGTTGCCCAACCTGGAAACCTTTTTGTAGCTGTAAAACAACTAAGGCTCTTTACTGAGCTCACCGGTGACTTATCTCAGGGAGCTGGAGCAAGAATTCCCTGGACCTTGAGTTTCCAGTTGCCCGCTGCCTGGCACCCTGCCCATTGCTGCTAATTTGCTGCCAGGAAGGAGACCAGAGTGGGGCAGCTCACCTGCTGTGCTTAGCCTGAGCTTCACATATTTGAAAGGGCGATTTGGAGCTCATTTTTCTTTTTGTTCTTCACAGTGGTGTGAGAAGTCAGAAGTCTCCCTACCATAGAGCCTGGCAGATACTCCAGGATCTCTGCCATCGGCTTCTGTGGCCCGAGGGAGATGAGGTTTGCTGTCCTTGGAAACCCAGAAGGAACTACTGTTAGTCACATCTTCCTCCTGAACCTACCTTTACACTCCTTAATAGGTGAACCTGACACAGTGACTGAGTCATGAAGCTTAGTCTTGACCTCTGAGGCAGGATTAGTAAGCAAACTGAGTAATGAATTGTTTATTATTTTGGTAACTGCAGCTGGAGTGCCCACATCAAACAACCTTAATAGTTACGTTATCTTAATGTACTTGATGTTGCTCATCAATACTGCTGCAAATTGAAGAATAAAAAAATTGTCTTTGTGCGGTAGAATGTTCCAGTTATATTTAATGGGAAAATATTCTTTTACTCTTTACTATTGCAGAAGGAAATGTTCCAGTAAGTAATGGACAGTTCTAAAATGAAGCCTTTATTTTTTATGATACCAGAATAGCATTCATTATGTACATGAACATTAGGCAGCCCAAAGTATTAGCTATTTCCACATAATAAACATTTCAAACACAGTAAAAAGCCAACTGGATGTTCTCAGGTGAAGCTCAGATCATAAATATACAGAACCACTCATAACTGCAGAGGGAGGATGAATCCAGTCACAAGATGTAAATCAATAACTGTTAACAACCATGTGAGAGTTGTTTTCATGGTTTTTGTTCACATAAACTAGGATGTAAAAACTGGACACGTATGTCATTGGGGATGGTAAATAGACTATTATATTTTTCCATCATTGAAAAGAATTGAGACAGTCATTTATGATTTGTAGACTTTGCTTTTATTCTGTATAAACTAAAGCATAAATTGCATTATTCTTAAAGAGCAGAGATACAGAACTAAGACATGGTGTTCCCTAGAATGTATTGCATTTCCTGGATCAGAAGGTCTTGTTCCTAAATGTATACTTGGTTCAAAATGATACAAATACACTACACATTACTGTACTAATTTATACTTTTAATAATTCTTTTAGGAGACTTTGCAGCAGGTCTTTGTTATCTGAGGCTGGTTCGAACCAGAAAAACCTCGCTTGAAGTAATCCACTTAAGTGGGAACTAAGATTTCACAATACTATAATGAAAAAATGCGTTTGGACATTATCTTGAAAAGTAAACTGAAAATATATTTATTTTAGCTTATTTTAACAAAATTTAGGTGATCTATTTTGATGGTAGACAGATGGAATACCAAATGTGGATTGTTTTTTAAATTTTTTGGATAATGTTTCAAAAATCCCCCTTAATGATAAATTAGAATCTGTTTCTTTACATCCTCTACCTATTGGCTGTGAGTCTGATTTGACTAAAACAGTAGAACAATATGAGTTTAAATATTTTCCCTTTAACTATAAACTGTTAACTATATTGTAGTACTTTCTCTATTGCATTTGACATTTCTATCAGATCATAAAGATGACCAGTACTGTAGTACCCAAAACATTCAAGGCCTTGGTCATTTTCCTTTGGAGACTTAAGTTTCCTAAAATGAAAGTTATCCTTGAAATCCCATTCTTACCACTGATTTTTAATTTTTCTATTCTTTTTGCTGTCTAACTGCTTAGTCTCTGCTTGCCATCATTTTGCCCATTATTGGGGAATTCACTAATGTCATTTTATTAGCCTCATATGATTCTATAAATTTTGGGGCAGAATTTGCAATTTCACTCAGGTAGATGCACAGCTTTGTGTAGGAAAACAAGCCACTCACAGACAGGATCAGGTTTGGAGACTGATGATAAACAAAGATGGTTATCTGAATAGAGATTTGGTTTTAAAATGGGCAGTTATTGTGAAGTATCTCAGTGTTTTCTAAAAACTGGTAATTGTAGTGATTTGGATTATGAATACTCAGCTGATTTTTTGTATGAATCCATTACCTTGTAGTCTAGTAGAAACCAGTGGGGAGAACCCAATGCTCGTCTTATTTCTGCTGGTGGGTTCCATGTGGTCAGGGACAGCTGGTGTTTTGTTCTGCTTTGCTGGCACACATTTACTTACCTGTCAATTGAAAAGGTTAGGTGGAAATCCCTCCCTTTGAATGACAATGTTTTGTGATTCTGTATTACCAGATACTTTAGACTAATCGAAAGTTGTATGATTCTGTTTTCGTATAGTTCTAGAATTTAACAAACATTGGCCAACTCCTTATTTGAGTTTATTTGTTCCATCACCCCCATATAATATTTACAGTATATATACATACATATTCTCTTTATGTGTTTATTTGTCTTTTGTTGTGTAGGCGGTGGCCTCATCCATGTGTAACCATGCTTTGGTAAGGTTGTAATCAGCCCTTTCATACAGTTTTACACTCCACACTTCACATCTTTTCTAATGGCTGACCACCCCTTGAGTGGACTTAAATGTAACCTGCCCATTGGGCAACAGAGCACCTCAGTGCTCTGAGAGCTTTGGAGCATTTTGGCCACATCACTGACATGGGCATCTTGTGGGTGGACAGTTCCTGCCAGGTAGCCCAGTTCTCTGTGCCCACTTCCTCTGTACTCGAGTGCCTTTTGACATCGCAGTACACAGGAAGAAACAAACTGAGGCCAGTGCCTGGCTGAGTGAAGCAGAGGGAGGAACAGAGGGAAAGCCTAAGAACATTGTTGGTGCTGCTGCCAAGCAGCAGCAGGCAGACTGAGATCCTGGGAGGTGCAGGAGGCAAAGGAGGACTGAGCCGGGAGTCCAGATGGGTTCTGAACAGCATTCCCAGGTGCAAGGCTGACCTGCCACACCAGTGACACCCGAGACTTGATAGCATGGAAGACTGGAGACCTTTGGCTTTTGAAGTTGCAGCAGCAGCCTCCTCTAGAGAATAAAGCAGTCAGTCATCCTCAGGCAGAGAACAGACAGGCTCACAGCAGCAAAGCATCCACAAACCCGAATTAGCTAACGCTATGTTATTAAAAACAGCAGCACTGTTCATGTTTATGCAGAATCTTTTGAGTGCCCTGGAGGAAAATAGTTTGTCTGTTATAATTAAAGTTGCTGCCTTTTCTGCAGATAAAGGAAACAGCATAACTGACACTTTTCCCTTCTAGTGCCTAGGGTCTCTTATGCTCTGTGGATCTCATGTTGTCTTCTCCGTGGACATGGGTAATTTTTTTTGCAATGTTTGTTGCACAAAGGTCACCACAGTACTGAGGTGGGTGTTGGGCAAGAAAGGAAACTTTGCATTGCACAAGTTTGGGTAACTTGGTTATTAGCAGGAGCTAAAAGCAGACGCTTCAAGTCAAGCCAGGGTAATGCGGGTCTAAGTGAGACAATTCTGGTCATAATTTAAATGATCAAATAGAGACTGAGGTGTATACCTCAGTGGTGCAGTGTGTGCACTGAATGCATGCATGAGGCCCTGGGTTCTATCCCTGGCACCAAAATAAACAAATAACCCAATAAAGAAGATACTAGAGAAGTATGGAAATTGTGTGTCGGTTTCCAATTCTACATGCTAAGGCAGGGGGTACCAAGGAATATTGAAGTAGGAGGCAGTTCATTGTTTTCGTAGGCTAATTCCAGGTCAGACCTCGCATTTGTGGGTTTCAGCTTTGGAAGTTGCACCCTATACTTTTTAAAACCTTTTTTTTTGTCTTCCTTAGATTCTGGTCACATTGGAGACTGGTGGTTTTCCAAAAGGAAAGGAGAAGCCCATGAAAGGATGGTGAATTCTCTTTGAGTTTCAGTTAACAGGATAAAAGGTAATTATTGGTTTCCGAATGTCTGCCCTACACGGGGGAGGTCAAGAGCATCGGTAGCAAATCAGCACAAGACAGTGCTGTGGGTCAGTAACCACCCTGCTGTGATTTAGTTCCAGCCTTTAAAAGATTCTTAAATAAATTTTTAGTTGTACTTGAGAATTAAGGTATTACCCATCCAAGGCTCCTTTTCTTCTTTCTTCCCTGCTTTCTTTCCTTGCGGCAGTGTGGGGATCAGACCCTGCCCATCTTACCCAAGCGCTCTGCCATCCTCAGCCCCGAACTTTTACATCCTTGTAACTGTCTTCAGTTTTTTCTCTTTTGTCTTTCCCACAGTTAGAGAAAGGATATGAGAGTTTCTGAGACATAAAGTGATGAAGTATACGGATGGATGTATTTTCATCACACCTAGGGCCTAGGCATGCACCTCCTGGGATGCACCCCCTGGGTTGCACCCCCAGCTCTAATCTCACATATTTGATAAAACTTAATAACTGGGTTCCTTGGATCTAGCTCATCTAAGGCCCATCATGACTAATGGCATCACCTTGAGACAATCACTTCTCCCTCCTCTGTGGGGACAACAGGACAGTAGGTAAACAGAGGAGGAAACACTGTGGTTCTGGAGAATGTCTGTCCAGTGGCCAATAGATACTTAATTCTATAATGGCATTTTTGAGTTGTCACAGAATATTTATTTATTTTGAGACAAGATCCCGCTCTGTAGCCCAAACTGAACTCAAACTCAAGATCCTCTTGCCTCAGCCTCCCAAATGCTGGGATTAGAGGGTACCACCATGCCCTGCTCTTAACAGAATTTTCAGACTCTTCTGTTTTCCTCACCTCTCTCATTCCAGGAAGTACCATCTTTTCCTCCTTCCTCTGCCATGCACTATCACTTTGTTCCTGCCTCATGTTATCGCTTTGGTTCCTTTTATTCCTGGTGTGTGGAAGGTTATCTCCTCAAGATCACTAGACAATAGCTCCAGGAGGGGCAGAATTGCTTCCTGTTTTGTTTGTATTTCTTGCCAGGCTCTGGGCGTCATAGCGCTGTGTCCATTTACTGAGGAGCTCACCGAGCCAGCTCCCTGACTTAGGAGACAGTTCCTAGAGGACGGGACCAACCCCTTCCTCCACCCGTGACTTCCTCCTGCACGGCAGGGCTCCCTATGCTGGGCCACCTGCCTGCCTGTGGGTGTGGCATCTACAGGGGGCTCTCAGGAGGGCTGATGGGGAGTGGATTACAAAAGGCTCAGAAGAGACTTCCCAGGTGCTCAGGGACAAGACCCAGGGCAGCAAAGGCCGGAGGCAGTGTGCGCAGGCCCCTCCCAGGAAGCCCTCCCTGGCTGCAGTGACAGGAAGGGCGTGTGCTGCTTGGTACAACTGAGCCTTCCCCTTCGGTCAGGTCTGAGAGGAAATGTGCAGTGAGTCATGTGGGGACAGAATCTCTGTCCCCAGTGGGGCTGAAGGGGACCCCTGAGGTTCCCCTTCCGGATTCTTTAGGTCCCCTGCCTCTGCGGAAATGTGACTGCCACAAAGGAGACCCAGCAGTCTGCAGGGTGCGCTGTGTGATTCCTGGCAGAGGAGGAAGGAGTCCAGCTGGGGAGCAGTGGTTCTGATGACCTAATGAGGCCTCTGAGTAGGTGCCCTGAGGGAAGCTTTGCCTTCTGGTTTCCTTCCAGGTGAGTGGAATGAGGAGGCAGGCAGGCAAACATTTCCTCCTCATGTGTGTTAGACAGGTCTCTAGAGAAGGAAATTTTAGGTATATGGAATTTCATAGTAAAGTATACTCAGCCTTCTTGTTAGCTGATAAAGGTCAGAAGGATGCATGTTTTATGAAACTATGAGCCTATGTTCAGTTCCTCCTCTTGTTTATACAGTCTCTCTCTGTCACACATATGCACACACGCATGCACACACATGCACACGCACGCGCACACACATGCACACACACGCACACACACACAATTCCAGCTGTCATTCTGATGCCTTTGCATGCTGGGCTACATGCCAGCCCTCTTCATCATCACTTCCTCTCTCTCCTGTGTCACCTGAGCTGCCAGCCTGTCCTGTGTGCGCTCCTGCATGTGGTCAGTCTCGCCTCCATGTCCTCTCTTACTTGCTGCCATCACAATTCCATCCCCTTTCCATTTTCACCACCAATCTCGGCCCCGCTCCTTGCAGTGCCCCTTGGAAGTGACACACTTTCCCAGCAGCTTTGCTGGCCTTTCTCCTCTTCCCCACCTCTGGCCCCCTTGCTTCTTGCGGCCTCGTGACTGTAGCCCTGGTCTGCTGTTTGTGAAGCCAGCCTAGCAGAAGTGATGGTACTGCTACCTCCTCCGTCCTTCCCGCTTCCCATGCTAGGGTTGATTTGCACTGAACCTTGTTACCTTCCTAACACACGACTGCACTTTTTATAGTGTGAATCTTTGGCCCAGTGTAAAGTCCAGAGGCTCAGTGCGGTAGACTGGGCCTTTCTGACACAGGCGCCCGTCCTCCAGCCTGCTTGGTACGTGTTCTAGGCTTGTGTGATTTCTGCCAGCTCTCCCAAAATAGCAGGCTTGGTCTCAGCCTTGTAGTCTCACATTCACTGTTCTCGCCACCCCAGCACCTCTCTCTTCCTAAAGACGCCCTGCAAGTGCTTTATCTGAGAAGCAACTGGGACACAGGCATGGGATACAGGAGCTCCTGCCAGGCTACATGAGGTGACGGTCAGTCTCACCCAGATGGGCTCCTGTGGAGGTGGACTAACTCCCAGCCTGTAGCATCTAACACATAGATGTTTAAAAAGTCCCAGCTTTCTGACCCTTGTTCTGTGGCTCTTCCAATCTGTACTCAGTGGATTTTGTTCTAGGTTACTGTTTTGCTAACCAAATATTCAATAAAGAAGTCCCATCTGCTGCAGAACACAAGAAAGTCTATAGATCAAAGCTCCCTGTCTCTTAAACCATGGTTCCAATGACTTTATTTATGGCTTCTGTTCTCATAAGAATATGCCATATGTGTTTCCTTCCTCATTTGAGAATGTTTTAATTTTGTGGAGAAGTTAATTTCCTCCATTAGCGACAAACATCTATAAACCCAGGTATTTTTAATTTTATGTATGAGCTGCCATGAAAAAAAAAAGGCCAGGAGATGGTGATGCCGTCAGCCTAAGTCACATTAATAATACTCTATAAACTACATATGAGAAGGAACTGCAGCAGAGCAAAGTGCAGGAAGGGGTTTTGGTATCCCCATTTCTCCCCAGGCTTCTCTTATATTTAGTTATTTCCTTCTGGACAAAGGTGGTATAACCCAGCGCCTGGCATGCATGAGGCCCTGGTTCCCTCCCCAACACCACAGAACAATGAAAGATTAGCTGGTTGTGCAGCGCTGGCCATGGCCCTTCCAGGGATAGTCCTTTCACTTGGCATACGACCTTCAGCCCCAGGCTCAAACAAGGTTCTAGACTCCTGTCACCCAGATCAAGTGGCAAATGTCCTGGAATGGAGATATGGGAAACCCACTTCATTTGAGCATTTCTTCACTCTGGATGGAGGATCCCTCGCTGCTGCTGCCAAGGTGTTCTGTTGTTTTGGCTTCTGAAAGGTGGTGGTAGAGCACCCAGATGGGATGAGTGTAGACGGGAGCAGCAGATGTTCATGAGCGTCTGGTGTGGGTAGCAGGGCAGGGTGAGCAGCAGCGCTGACCAGGGAGGGCCGTCCCTGTCCCTCCTTCCTGGTGGTGGTGACTGATGAGCATCTTTCCCTTTGGTCTGGAGTTTTGCCAGTGCCCACAGAGCAGAGTTGGAGAATAGAAACCCTCTGATGTCTTTCACCTCTCAGGCCTGGGGGTCACTGGGGGTAGAGAGTGAGCAGAGCATCTCTGGCAGTAGGGTTCCCAGATGAGGGGTGGTCCCCAAGCTGAGGCTGACCGGAAGAAGAGAATTGAGAGAACCAAACACTGGAGTTCTGTGATACTCACATGGGAACTGGTTCAAGGCAATTCAGGCCTTGTAGTTGTTTCTTTTTCCACAAGTTAGTATAAAATTTGAAATTTTAACATGGTCACAATGGTCACAATTAAATTGCGGCTATTAAACACTCCCTTAATCCAAGCATTTCATTCACCTTTAGTTTGAGATGTTCCTAAGCTTAGCCATCTCTGGTGGGGTAGGCAGATAGGTTCTCCTGACCTAGGAAGAACCATCATGTTAGAAGCATCCAAGGGTCACAGATGTGCGCCAGCAGGAACAGAGCACTGGAAAATCTGCTCCATATGGCCAGATGAGTGCTACAGCTCAAGCCAATGCCAGCTGAAATGCAGTCCTCTGTGTGGCCAAGAGCTGTTGTCAAAAACAGAAAAGCTGGCTCCAATTCCTTCAAATCAAAATCCAGCCCAGTGCTCCCAGAGTCAGCTGCTCGGCCCCCTAAGGTGAGCTCTCAAGACCTAGGCTGACCTTCTGTGTCCCAGAGAAGCCTGCCAAACCCTTGTGGCTTGCTCCAGTTACTTTTTATTGAGGAAATCACTGCAAAATTCTTTGTATAATCCCAGAAATGTATTTTGTTATCATAGTAAAGTATCATCATGGCAATGTAATCACAAGGCTTTCTAAGCTGTCTTCACTGAAGGTAAGACAACCTGCAGTTAGCAGATGCCTGTAGTTAGCAAGATAGACGGTGGTGGGTTTGGGGCTAGGGAAGAAGACTTAATGGTAGAGCATATGCTGAGCATGCCTGAGGCCTGGGTTCAGTCATAAGCAACACAAGGAAGAAGTCTTCACTCTCAAGGATTTACATCCCATGAATGTGTGTATACATGCCGTCCACCCCACATTCCTATTATTGGACGTAAAAGAATGACCAATCATATTCTTGGTATGACTGAAAGATAAAGTGAGTGTCTAAATTTGTTCTAAAAGTTACTATATAAGAGACATGTTTGCATTACTTACCCTCAAAATAGTCCCTGCCTTGGTTCAAACACATTCATCTCATCTTCTTACTCTTTCTGAAGCAGTTGTGGAAGTCCTCTTTCATGAATGGCTTTAGTTGCACTCTCAGCTGCCTTGATGTCCTGACTTGATTCAAACATTTACCTTTGATTTTGACTTCGTAGAAGAGCCAGAAGTTGCACAGTGCCAGATTCGATGAATGACATAGATGAGGATGTACCACAATGTTCCGATAAACCTACCCTTTGATGCATGGCACCAAGCAGTGGTGGTCACTGTATTTTTTTTTAATCACACCTTGTAAAGACACTCACAGAAGAGGACTTCTAGAACTGCTTCAGAAAGTGGCAAGACTGATAGGAGAAGTGTGTTCAGAGCAATTTGTGAGGGATTAATGGTAATGTGTCTTTTGCAGTAATGGATGTTAAAACATGCGGTGTGACCATATTTGTTGGTCACACTGCATATGTTTAAGCAACACAAGCATAGCAACAGGACATAGCTGAATGCCTCTTAACTATAATTAACAAGTCGTTTGGTATAATAAACCTCTTGGGCAACATGGTTGAATGCCTCGCTTGAAAGAAACTGATTTTTTCTTTGGAGAGTGGATGGACAACAGAAAACCATTTCAGCTTGAACAGTTGAGGGCAAGGAGGTGAGATGGGTTGACAGGCAGGATAGGGCAGCTTGCTCTGGTGGAGATGGTGGGGGGAAGGTATGTGCCCCGTCAGGCGCTAGGGGCCTGCTGTGTGTGGGAGTAAGTCCTAGCAGATATGATGACTGTTTCTGGGAATCGCATCCTCCAGATTACCCAGTGGAGTTGTGCATGTGATCTGGACTCTTTGGCCTGATTGCTATAAAGAAGTGTGTGGTTGGGGGAATGTTGTCCCACCCTGTCCAAAGATGTCCACATCCTGATCCACAAAGCTGCTATGTTAGATTACATGGCAGGAAGGAGTTAAGGTTGCTCAGCAGCTGTGCTTGATATGGGAAGACCATTCTGGCTTTTCCAATGGGACCAGTGCAATCAGAGGGCCACTCTGAAATGAAGAAGGCGGTCAGGCGCACGGAGAGACACATGTGATGACAGTGTCTGTGGCCCTTATTGCCTGGAAGTTGCATGAGCCAAGGAACACAGAGGCCTCTGGAAGCTGGGAAGGGTGAGAGGATGGATTCTCCCCTGGAGGTCTAGGAGAAATGTGACCTTGCCAAAACCTTTATTTTTAGTCCAGCAAGACCCGTTGCAGACTGAAGATTTCAAGAACTATAATCATTGTGTGTTGTTTTAAGCCAAGAAATGTGTAGTGATTTGTTCCAGCAGACCATAGTAAACCATGTAATATGGAAATCTGTCTTTGTTTTGGAAACACGAAACCCTCCTAGTTATTTACATAATGCAATTTGGAAAGTTACAGAATTATAAATAAGTCAAGAGTGAATATTGTCAAAATTCATTTAAGTTTTTCTGAGCTAATTTATTTCACTAGAATCAGGGCAGGAGTGTTGTTTCTTCACTTCTATATCTTCACTGTCTAGATCACTGCCTGACTCATCTGTACATGCAAAAACTAAAGCATCTACTTTTTAAAAGAAATTTATTTTATGCAAAAATGTACCATTCTTATTAGAAATGTTGAATTCAGGCTTTTATAGACAAAGGATATTTTACATTTTCATTCGGAGAAGAGAGTCTTGGTTGGAAATCTAAGTTGAATTAAAGAAAAACTCATTGTCACAGATTGA